TGGGGACTTTGGACTTCCCTCTGGAGGAGGAGATCACGGATGATCGTGCTGTGAGTGCTGCGAGAGTTTTCCGAGGTTGTGTTTTGAACATGTTCAGTGAGAGGTTTCTTATTGATTTGGTACTAATTCCCTTGAGATGGTTGAAGATGATCACCGGGATGGACTAGTTTGGGCCTAATGGGGTTGTGATTGATTGTGAGTAGAAGATGGTGAGGGTTCGAACCCCAAGTAGGGGAGAACTGATCATTCCGGGTGAGAGAGCTTCGCATGGACTAACTCTCTATTTAGCTGCGAGGGCTAGGAGGATTCTACAGCAGTGTTGTTCTGCTTTTTTTGCTTATGTTTCAAATACATGGGTTGAGGCCATGCTAGAGTTGAGCAGGGTACCCATTATGCGGGATTTTCCCTATGTTTTTCCCAAGATGTTTCCAGGAGTGCCTCCTGAGATGCAAGGTGAGTTTCGAATTGATTTGATGCCTGGTTCGGCTCTGATAGCCAAGGCATCGTATCGCCTAGCACCGCCTGAGATGCAGGAGTTATCTATGTAGCTGCAGGAGTTGTTATACAAGGGTTTTATCCGTCCGAGCAGTTCCCCATAGGGAGCATCAATTTTGTTTGTAAAGAAGAAAGACGGGTCACACAGGATGTGTATCGATTATCGGGAACTGAACAAGCTAACGGTGAAGAACCGTTACCTACTTCGAAGGATCGACGATCTATTTGATCAGCTTCAGGGTGCCTCTTGGTTTTCCAAGATTGATCTTCGGTCAGGGTATCATCAGATGAGGATCAGGGACGAGGATGTATAGAAGACAACCTTTAGAACTTGTTATGGTCATTATGAGTTTGTGGTGATGCTTTTCGGGCTTACCAATGCCTCAGCAGCATGTATGGATCTCATGAACCGGGTCTATAGGCCGATGCTGGATCGATCGGTGATTGTTTTTATTGATGATATTCTAGTGTACTCCAAGACCAAGGAGTAGCATGAGCAGCATTTTCAATTGGTGTTAGAGACCTTGAGTAGGGAGAGGCTGTATTCCAAATTCTCCAAATACAAGTTTTGGTTGCGTGAGGTTCAATTTTTTAGGGTACATCATCAATCTGGATGGAATCTTGGTGGACCCGACCAAGATTGAGGCTGTGATGTGTTGAGAGGTTCCAAAAAACACATCAAAGATTCAGAGTTTCTTGGGTCTTGTGGGGTATTATCGAAGATTTATTCAAGACTTCTCCAAATACAACGTGCGAAATATCGCCTAGTCTTACATAATAAATTGGGCTTAAAAGTGTTAATAAACATATTACGGAAAATATCATTTCTCATGCTTATATGTTAAATATGTGTTGGCATGGAACGTGACGTGATAAAATATGACAAATACCACACTTAGTTGATAAAAGCCTTATTTTTATTTTTATTTTTGTTGGTAAATATCATAAGTTTTTGGATTACCTTTCTTTTTTTAAATCAAAGATTTTCTAAAAACTTATGATTTTTACAAAAAGTAAAAAGAAAAAAAAAGTGTGTAAAGCTTTGGACCTTTTTGGTATTTTATACCAAAAAAAAAAAAAAAAAAAAAAAAAAAAAAAAAAAAAAAAAATTGTTGGAAAAAACGATAAGTTTTCAAATGACTATTCATTTAAAAAAAAAATAGGTATCATTGATTGATGACGAGATAAAAAGTTAAAAACGAAAGATTTTATAAAACCTTTTGGTTTTTACCAACCAAAAGAAAATTAATGTTTTTGTCAAATACATGTATAAAACTTATGATTTTTTTTGGCATTTATCCAATAAAATATTATAAATTTATCGACGTATAAATACAATTACATGTGATTACCAAGTAAAAAGTTATAATTTTGTGATAGAAATCAGAGACATTATTAGCAAGGGATTCCTGGTCACGTCAATTTGATACTTTTCCATTTTGTTTGAAAAAAAAAAAAGGATGGTCATGAAAGAAAAAGTGGACAAAAAGCTCTCTTTTTATCAAAATAAATATTGTCCAGCCATTTTATGAGGAAAAAAAAAAGGGATGAGCATGACCAAAAAAAAAAAGCAGATTCTCGATTTTTGTTGATCTTACTCGATTTGAAAGAGATATGTACGTATTTGGGAACTCTCTTACAAAAATCTAACACTTCATATATTTTCAAGGGATGAATCTACTGTTTTTATCTTGTTTACTATCTTATTTTAATTTGGCTAGATGGAGGAAGTGGTATTAAGCATCACCTAAGTTTTGTCATACTGTTTCAAAATGTTGGCATTCATTGGGCTTGGGTTTTCATTTTTGCCATGTTCAAAAAAAATTGAAAAAATAAATAAATAAAATAAAGACATTGTGATTGGTTGGTCTAAAAATCAAACGGGAAAATGGGGAGAATGCTAGGTAAATGTCGAATGGTTGTCGAGATCACTCCGCATAGCCTGTTTGGGGTTGAAATCTTTTTTGAAAGAGGTTATGGCATATATGAAGCATCTCTCTCTCTCTCTCTCTCTCTCTCTCTCTCTCTCTCTCTCTCTCTTTCTCTCTCTCTCTCTCTCTCTCTCAACATCTGATTTGGTAATATATTAAATGGCTATCAAACATTATGAATCTTATAGATTCAGTGCTGGCTTTTATTATTAAGAGACCTTAAGATGTTGGACATCAATGTGTGTACAAATGAACTGTTAAGGGCAAATGTATCAAGAAAATGAAAGTAAGATGATTTAAGTCCTCAAGTGTCGAAAGTATCATATGATCAATTGATTATGATGGTTGGAGTTGTAATCCATTAAGAAAAAGCTACCAACATAATCTAACTTGATGATGAATCATGATATATATTCATAACGCTCCAGTACATACATTATTGTTTTGAACTCCAAGGTGAAACCAACATATCATTAATACCCATACATTATTGCAATACTATTTTCATGTCGTAAATCTTCTTTTGGATGCACATGGGTAGCATAAGGCCATAATAGTTAGTACTTTATGGTCCCAAATCCCAATCACAATTGACAAGAGATACCTTCTTGTTTCCATTTTGTCATCTTCGATTGTAACTCCACATAATTTATTATTTATCAATTATTCCTCCGAGGTTACTTATTCCCAAAGTTACCTTTTCATTGGCCTAACATTCGCAACATAAAAATGATTATATTCAATAACATTGTATAAGAACTTTAGGTTAACCCTTGTGTTGTTAACCACAACTATTTGCCACCGATAACCGCCTCCGGCGACCTTTTCTAGTTGTTGGAGGTGCATTCTCTCGTTTGTTTCTTTACCTCTCTCATTTAGTTGATTACGAGAGAAAATTATCCATGTTGCCACTTCTACCCTACTATTCTTTAAGAAAATCGATTTCTTTTCAATCTCTCTCATATCGTTTTTCATAAACACCAATGTTTATCTCTCTAAATTTCTCATCTCAATTCTTTATGTTTTTTTCGTTTTATTCTTCTCTTGTCTTCTATTTCTCCTCACCATGGCCCATGGTTTCCCCTCAATTCACAGTCATTTTATCAGATGGCTGCCTCCTCAGATCAGGTTGCCTCCGCTCCTCTTCCTCTCCAAGAGTGTACAACTACCCTTCTTGACTACAACCAAATAAATGTTTCATAGAAAGACTGTCAAGTTGAAAAGTTTCAAGACCACCAATTCAAGTTCAAAAAAAAAAAAAAAAAAAAAAAAAAGGATCAAGACATTATTGTTTAAATTTTCTGCATCAACCTGAGTGTCTGTCCTCCTCCCGCTCCAAGTGCGGGGGGCTATTAGCGTAGCATTTATGTTCAATTATATTTGATTTGATCAATCCCTTATATTATTAGGATATTAGTTGTAATCAATCTATTGATTGTTGGGATATTAGTTGTACTCAAGGCTATTTAAACCATGATCATACTAACAAAATGGAAAGCGATTATATTCAATATCATTACATTCACGTGTATATATATCATATATTACTATAGTATTCCTCAATCAAAGTGTTTGTATTAATATTATTTTTAAAAGAATTAATGACTATAGGATGTAATACTTAGTTTTTATTTTTTATTTTTTTATATTTGTCATATGAATAATTTGTATGATAAAATATAAAAACCATAAACATTTTTATTCTTTAATAAGTGTTGTGGCTTTTTTTAATGGTTAAACTTTAACATGTAAAAATTTGTAAATCGTAATATTTTTATTTTTCTCGATATTTGTCATGAATAATTGTTGAGCTGCCCATGACGGACTGGTTCATCATGTGGGTCGTAAATCATGGAACATGATCAATATTTTAAACATGTCTTTATTTAAACCTAGATTTTATGTATGAAATTTTGCATCTCAGACTCTCATCGTAGATGTATAAACTCTTACATATATTGTATATGGATGTAAACGAGCCGAACTTTACACTAATCGAGCGAGGCTCTTTAAAAATTGCAGAAGCTCGAGCTCGTATCTTGAGGCCCGAGCTCAGCTCACGAAATGTTATAAAAAGCTCGTCAAAAGCTCAATAAAGCTTGTTTAATTATATAAGTTTTTTTTTTCATGATGATATAAAAATATATAATATAATTATATGAATAAAAAATATATATTATATCAAAGTCCATTTAAGCTCGCGAGCTTAAATGAGCCCAATATATATGGCTCGGCTTGAGCTCGGTTAATAAATGAGCCTTAAATCTAAGCTTGAGCTCATTTAAGCTTGGCTCGTTTCGAACTTTTAACGATTCAAGCTCGAGTAGCTCGGCTTGTTTACATCCCTAATATTGTATAACATGTAAGGGTTTAACTATTATAAAAAATCAAAAGCTTTATTACTGAAAAAAAAATTGAAAGAGGATTTGATCAATGGAAAGGTTTTTCCTTTTTTTAACATTTTAACATTATTTTAACTATTATAAAAAATCAAATGTTTTTGTATGTTTATACTTTTTTTTAACATTTTATCATTATAATTTATTAACTTAATTTCGATATAGTTATAAAAACGAAGTATACAATCAATAAATTTGTTTGTTCAACTATACAACCGAAAAAAATATAAAAATTATGACAGATATGTCATCCATAATCTGTCAAGTAAAACCATATGGATTGAAATGCAAATTGTTCTCAGAAGTGGATTTTGAGGGCCATAACTTCACCACACAAGTTTCATATGGTTATTTTCTATGACAGCATAAAGAGGACATTCACTTCTTTTTCTTTTCATATGTGAGAGAACTTAGTTGTTGGGTCACTCAACTTAGTTGCAAATATGTTTAACAACAAAATTAAGCTATGATTCTTGATGACTTGGCATAAGTTAACTCATTATCAGTGACATGTCATGTAACATGACAGGATAGGGCCCACATTCTAGTCAACATCAATCTCATCCAATGTCACTCCACTCAACTCCTCACCACTCACAAGCATCCTAAGCCCATCTTTCAACTCTCCAACACCTTCTTCAAGAACAGCACAAACCGGAAACATCTTCACACCATTCACCCTTCTCCTCAACTCATCATACACTTGATCAGCCCCAATCTCATCAATCTTATTAGCCACAATCAATGCGGGTCGACCCGACAAACCCTCATGATAAAACTCAAGCTCCATTATCAAATCCCTCAATTGCTCCCATGGTGGGACCCCTTTTCTACCATCTAACCCCGCACTTAAGTCAAGAACATAAGCAAGAACCCTAGTCCGTTCTATATGCCTCAAAAAAGCATGCCCGAGTCCACGGTTTTCGTGGGCCCCTTTTATAAGTCCGGGAATATCAGCCACAGTGATTGACAAATCATCGTATGTTAAATTTCCTAAATTAGGTCTCAAAGTTGTGAACGCGTAATGCCCTATTTTCGGTTGGGCTTTTGATAAAGCTCCTAAAAGCGTACTTTTACCCGCGTTTGGCATCCCCACAAGACCCACGTCAGCAATGCTTTTGAGTTCGAGTATTAAAACGGATTCGGACCCGGGCGACCCGTTTGTGTGTGACGGGTTGTTTTCGTTTTCGGTTTCTTGAGAGTCAAAGTTGTTGACTTTTTCATCTTTCTTGGAATTTTTAAAAGGCTTTGAGAGAGAGATATTGCCTAAACCACCAATTCCACCATGAGCAATGATTATGCGTTGACCGGGTTCGGTCAACTCAGCAACGTTGTACTCAATATGTTCTTCTTCTTCTTCTTCTTCTTCTTCTTCTTCTTCTTCTTCAGATCCACCATTGTTGGTAACTCGAGCTTCCCATATGTTGATAGTTTCTTGATTCCAAAAACTGAAGCTTTCTGAATCCTTTGGTTTTACTATCTCAATGGAACTTCCATTGGATTGATGACATGTGGCATGTTGGGTAGACTCGAGGGTATTATCGGGAATCTCCCAAGGGTTCAAAGGTGTAGATTGTACTTTTTGAACTACAGATGGCATCTCACCTTCAACAAGATGAAGTACAGTGCCAACAGGTACTAGAACAACCTGAAAATATTATTATATTTTTTTATTTGTTGAAAAATGTGAAGGGAAAATAATAAAAACATGAAAGTAAATTATGACCTTGTCGTCTCCTCGGCTTCCTATCATGTTTTTTGAAGCTCCATGTCCTCCTTTTTTTGCATTCTGTAAAATATAATAAAATGGTTGACTTCATATTTGGGTGAAAGTGAAAATTAATAAGAAAAATAGGGAAAATTTAACAAACAATGTGATGTTGTAGGCTGCTTAAATCCCATATTGTTGGTGAACATTCTAGTATCACATCTCCACCTCTTCCACCATTGCCACCTACATGACACATTTTAAGATTAGGGTTTATAGCCACGTCAGCATTATTTTACATGTGAACATCCAATCTGGACAATGACATGACCTGAAAACTAGTTAACTTGCTATAAATGGGAAATATTTCAAAGAAAAAATGGAAATTAAATTGCTATTTCTTGTATCATTTGAATACAACCAAATTAATTACTCACCATCAGGTCTGCCACGGCGGTCATGGCGGCTCCGGTGGAAGCTAAAGCAACCATTGCCGCCATCTCCTCCTTTGGCCCACAGCCGGCGACAGTCTATCATTCTACGCTCCTTCAACAGTAGAAAATACAAATTAAAAAAAAGAAAAAGAAAAAAGTGTAGAGAAAGTAATGTGAGGATAGGAAAATGATTATGTAAATGAAGTTGAAAAGCGGTTGTTACACTTGTTCATAAGGAATAGGGGTAAAAGAGGAACCTGTAGGGGTGCAAGCTTTGGTTTTTTGAAAGGGGTATCTGAAAATCTTGAAATCTGGAGAATCCATGGCGATTTTGAGCACTTTTGTAAAGCCTCCAAATAATGAAGAGGGTTCTTGCAACGTGACCACATATTTACTAATTTATGATGCTTCGAGGTGGCATAACATTCGTGTAGGTTACCAATTTAAGCTTTATTGGAGCTCTTGAATGTATATAAGAAAAACTTGATTACTCGATACAAGTTTCACAGCCACTTGTTCACTCAGACAAAACATCGAACACCTGGACTGCAACTCTTAAACATCGAAACTTGGGACAGCATTCTATTCATATAACCAAAATAGGTTATGGGATCACAAAAAAAGATGTGAAAATAATCAAAATACATAATACTAGATATAGCCAATAACAAAAACATGAAGAAAAAAAAATGTACTCGGCAATGATTCATATAATTTCAGTGTCAGTGTACAAGATTATATCTTTTTGATAAAACGATATTAGCAGCGTAAAATTACCTGGAAATCATTTCTATTATAGGAGCGAAATCTGTCAAAACTAGACACCCTCCGATAGAAGCTCGCATCAAAGCAGGCATAAACCCCCGCCTCCGTTGAGACTTGAGAGTTTTTAAAAAGAATTTTGGGACAAAGTTTCATTTAAAACCCCAAACATTTATATATAAACCTTTAGAATCTTCAGATTGCTCTTTGTGATTAAAATTTAATTTGGTCAAATAAATAAAGACTAGTGTGGTTGCATTGTTCCAGTTTTATTAGTCTTATATTTCCATAAAAATTTTCTATAAGTTTGTTATTAGATTGTGATCATTTCTCTAGTTTTGTGAAACATAAGGATAATTTCTATAATTTTGCTTTTGACAGGATAACTTTATGGAAAACATAAAATATTTTTATAATTGTGTACCATTTATGTAAATTTTCTAATAGGCAGACACCATATCCATAGTTTTATGAAACATAGAAATTATTTCTATAAATTTATTATTAGAAAGGGACCATTTCTATAACTATTTAAAATATAAAGACAATTCCTGTAAAAATAATTCTACACAGGTACCTATTTGGTAAATTACATGGACCCTTTTTGTAATTTGTTGTCTATGTAGTATGTAGGACCTCTTCTCTAAATTAGTAAATTTCTATTAAAATAGGGACCATTTTGTAGGTCTGAGTGATCATTTTTGTAGACATTTTTTTTAATAGGAACTGTTTTAATAAATATTCCAACAAATGTAATGAGTTATAGAATATTAGGTCCTTTTACATTTTTTTTCATCAAATTAGCGTATAAGAATATCACTCGTATATACTTTAACAGTTATATTAATTACATATAGTTTTGATCTAAAATAAATTATCTAACATATAAATAGATCAGGCTATAAGGATAGATTGGATGACACTACTAATCTAATAGGACACGTCCTGTTTAGAATTTGTTTATATATTTTCTTTTTCCTAAATCAATTATTAAAAATCTAAAGAAATTGATTGATACAAAACTTATTTTCATTCAAAACAACGAAGGCTCAAGGCAATATAAATCCAGAAATAAATACTTGAGCTCTAGCCTCTAAGTAAAACTAAAATAGGATAAGCTAAAACTAAGGAAATGATATTGATGGAGCAACCATCGATTAAATAATATTCATTTATTCCCCCTTAAGTTGGAGCATGTAAGTCTCGAATGCCCAACTTGCCAATGAAGACGTTATGGTTCATAGTGTCAACATGCATGGGTTTGATTTCTTGAAACTCAACACGTTCATGAACAAAGTAACAATCAATTTGAACGTGTTTGGTACGTTCATGGAAGACATAATTGTTGGTGATGTGTCTAGCAGCTTGGCTGTCACAAAATAAAGATGTATGTCTAGCTGCAGGTACATCTAATTCCTTCAGTAGCCAACATAACCATACGGTTTCACTAACAGAAGTGATCATGGCTCTATATTTTTCCTCTGCTGAAGATCGTGAAACCATAGATTATTTCTTAGTCTTCCACGAGATTGGAGCTCCTCCTGGAAGAAGCAAGTACCCAGTTCGTGAACGCCTAGTATAAGACCATCCTCCTTCTTTTGGAAAGAAAATTCTTTGTCCTAGAGTGGCTTTTAAGTAGCGTAAAATCTGATTTGTTGCATCCATGTGTGTTTGTCTAGGATCAGAAACGAATTGGCTCAATATATTGACCGAATATGCCAAATCAGGTCTAGTTGCTTGAAGATAAATAATCCTTTGAACGAGCCATCGGTATTGATTATCATCCACTTATGGACTATCCTTACTTTTATCAATTTTCAAATTTTGTTCCATTGGAAACTTGCTAGGTCGACAACCTTGCATGTCACTATCCTCTAGGATATCCAAAGTTTATTTCTGCTAACTCGAAACCAAACCACCAGAGGTTCAAGTCACCTCGATGTCAAGGAAGTATTTCAACGGGCCAAGATCTTTGATGCTAAAGTGCACATCTAAGTAGTCTTTTGTTTCATGTATTTTGTAAGCATCATTTCCTACAATCACAACATCATCGACATAAATTAAGGCATCAACATAGCTATTTTGTTGTTTATAGATAAACAACGAATGATTAGCATAAGACTGTCTAAACTTGATTTGCAACAAGGTTGTTGTGAACTTTTGATACCAATTGCGAGAGGCTTGTAGAATTTAGTAAAGCGACTTTCTCAGTCTGGAAACTCTCATCTCGTTCTTTTCAGTAAAACCTTGAGGAATCGTCATGTATACCTCTTCGCTTAACTCCCTATGCAAGAACGCATTGTTCAAGTCAAGTTGATGAATCATCCAGTCTCTTTTAACAACAACTACAAGTAAAGTCCAAATAGTGACAAGTTTTGCTACTGGTGTAAATGTGTCGTGGAAATCCACACCCTCCAATTGTGTGAATTCATTCACTACAAGACATGTCTTGTATCTTTTGATTTCTCCATTTGGTTTGTACTTAATTTTGTAGACCTATTTCAAGTCTATTGCTCATTTCCATTTGGTAGCTTCTCAAGATTCAATGTTTCATTTCTCAAGAGCTTTAATTTCTCTTTACATGGCTTCTCTCCATTTAGGATCCTACACAACCTGGTTAAAATGTTTTGGCTCATCATTTGAGCTAATAGCTACCAAAAACTCTTTGTGTGAATTAGAAACCTTTTCATAAGAAATAAAGTTATCCAATGGGTGTACCATTGAAGGCTCTTGATCGCTTGTGGGTGATGTGTGGTCTACCGAAGGAGGTAAATTATCGACAAAATCATCAACGCACTTCGGTCGTGATCTATTTATTGTCTCCTAAGGTTGTTGATTTGATGTGAGTCCGTGTTAACGTGTAACTCCACATTCTCTTGAGAAGATTCAACAGATCCTATATTTGTATAATTAGTGGCTTCATTTTGATCGTGATCTTTAGAAACCATTTCACTGATGTCATGTTAAAGAACCTGGTCTTCATCTTGAACAACTTCATTCAAGAATTCAACTTCGTTGGTTCCAAACTAATTAGTTTGTAATTCCAGATTGACCAAAAGGAAGACATTTTCAACAAACTTTAAGTCGAATATCTGATGTCATGTTAAAGAACCTAGACGCAATGATTTTCCTATCCCTTAAGTCGAATATCTTATATCCCTTTTTTTTCTTGAGGATATCCAATGAATATGTCCAGTCTCCCCCTGACTTCGAACTTGTCCCCCTTAGTGTCTGTGTTTCAAGTTCGAGCATAAACCAGGCAACCAAAAACCTTCATGTGTTCATAATTTGGTTTTTGTCCAAAGAGTATTTCATATGGGGTTTTTTGGTCAATCACCTTTAACGGCAGCCTGTTTGTAGCGTATGTAGCAGCGAGGACACATTCTCCCCAAAACTTCACTGACAAACCAACCTTAAACTTCAAAGCCCTCGTTATCTCGAGAATATGTATGTGTTTACATTCCACAACCCCATTTTGTTGTGGGGTGTGTGGACATGTGATTTCTAACAAGGTTCATTCCCTTGCATAGAATTATCTCATAGAAGCTGATATGAACTCACCTCCATTGTCTGTTCTTATTCCTTTAATTTTCTTTTTGAATTGAGTTTTCACCACATTGTGAAAGCTAATCAAATACTCACCTGCTTCATTTTTATGTTTAGTAAATAGACCCAAACGCCTCTACTAATGTCATCAATGATAGTAAGGAATAAGCTAGCACCTATAACGGAAGGTGTATGATACTTGCCCCAAACATCAACATGTGACAATTCAAAGCAATCACTTTTTTTTATTGAACTATGAAGAAACAGAAGTCTAGCATGTTTAGCTTTTACACAAAAATCTCAGACTTTGTCTTTTAATTTGCAAGAAAAGCTTTCTAAAAAATCTACTTGGCTAAGTTTTGAACTAGAGGCGTGACCCAACCTCTTATGCCACAACTCAACATCAGCTATTGCCATCATCACCTTCCTTTGCGATGTATCTAAGCTCATTCGGTAAAGACCACACTTGCACTCACCCATACCCATGGTTATAGAATTCGAACTCGGTACGAGTTCGAACTTGGCTAAGCTCATTCGGTAAATAGACCCAAACGGCTCTACTAATGTCATCAATGATAGTGAGGAAAAAGCTAGCACCTATAACGGAAGGTGTATGATACTTGCCCCAAACATCAACATGCGACAATTCAAAGCAATCACTTGTTTTTATTGAACTATGAAGAAACAGAAGTCTAGCATGTTTAGCTTTTACACAAAAATCTCATACTTTGTCTTCTAATTTGCAAGAAAAGCTTTCTAAAAAATATACTTGGATAAGTTTTGAACTAGAGGCGTGACCCAACCTCTTATGCCACAACTCAACAACAGCTATTGTCATCATCACCTTCCTTGGCGATGTATCTAAGCTCATTCGGTAAAGACCACGCTTGCACTCACCTATACCCATGGTTATAAAATTCGAACTCGGTACGTGTTCGGCCGACTACTAATTAGCGAGTACTCGGGAGTAGTCAGGGAGTACTAGGATTCGATAATTCATGTAGAAATATTTTTAGGGAAATTATATATGTCAAAATCATAAGTTGATTAAAATATATAACAATATTAGATACATGTGAATACACAAAAACTGAAAAACACGTAATGGTATCACTTCGTGAATAATTATTGAAGATTGAAGATTGAAGATATATATATATATATATATATATATATATATATATATATATATATATATATATATATATATATAGAGAGAGAGAGAGAGAGAGAGAGTCAAGATCAAATAAGAAGTTTTTTTCTACATATTTTTTTCGCGAAAAAACAAAATGAATCATTAGATGATTCATTTGTAAGATGATTCACAAGAAAAAAATTCTCAAAAAACATCTCGATGATTCATTTATACAATGATTTTGTTGTTATTCACTAAAATTATCATAAAAATGAATTTTTTCTTAATTTACTTAAAAATGAATCATAAAAATGTTTTTTTGGGAATTTTTTCTTGTGAATCATCTTACAAATGAATCATCTAGTGATTCATTTATTTTGTTCATCAAAAAAATATGTAGAAAAAAAACTTCTTACCTTGCTACCAAAAACAATTTCTTTCCGGATCTATATCCTATATATATATATATATATATATATATATATATATATATATATATATATATATATATATATAATCACATGTGGGTGTTAAATAATAAATCATTAAGCATATTATACATATTAATCACAGTGTTGGTTAAATTTTACAACATTACTCGC